TATTAAATCATGCTGACATAACATTTTTATCTGAATATTGATGCGAGAAACTATCGGCATTTAAAATGTTGAAGTCACAAATAAAAATTTGACAGCCCGCAGTTGTTCTATTGTATTTTTCCTATTTATCAATAGCAAAGGAATAACAGAGAGTGTTTGTTGTCACGTTAAGTCATGACATTTGCGCTAAATGGGATTTCAAAACAATTATTTAAAAAAACGTTAAGCAAAAGTGATAAGTTTTAACACTAGGCAAAAAATTGATATTAAGAAAGAAAATATTTCCTCCTGTTCAATGAAATTGCTTTTGTAAAAAAATAGATTCTCGAAATTTGAAACAAAGAAGAAATTTATTATAAAGAGTACTGTTGTTGTACGTTTTTTATACATTTCTATTGTTCACAACACCTAATCAAAGATGTGGAGTCCATTAATTGATTAATCATTAAAATAGTACTGATGATAGTTCAATTTAAAGCTAAAGGTTTATATAAATCTATATAAAACTCCAGCTGGACCGTAAATAAAATTGCAATCAATCGTTGTCGTGTAATATGTCAATGAATCAAGAAATCTTGATTACTATGTGTTACTGGTGTACCATGTAAATTACTATGTGTTACTGTGTACTTTACTATGTATTACTCGGTACTTTACTGTGTATTACTTGTGTAATGATCACTCGTTTTCAAATACAAAGGTATATTTCAGCACATGGCCAATCTGAATGTCAACGTGAATGAATGAATGAAATAGGGTTTTATCGCACGTCAGTCCCAACCGGGCTATATTGCGCCAAAGACTTGTCAACGTAATGCTGTGAGTAATGTTGTAACTAACAGCATTGGGAAGAGGTTGACATTTTGTCAGCATCTCAGTTTACCACATAGATAGTTTATTTGGGCTGTAAATTCTTCCCTTGTTTTCAACCAGATTGAAGTGTCAATTGACCACACATTCACTGGTCTAGATAATGACACCTTTACATAAAAAGGATTAAAGTTCGTCCTACTGATCTGCACTAGCTGGGCTAATGAATCCGGACATCTGCCATAAATTGTGCCACGGGGGAAATTTTGCACGGACAGCTGTGCTAAAGACTACTCTTATATCTGTCATTGAAACTTTTACACTAGATGAATTGAGGTTTAGCGTCCTACTGATCTGTACTGACTGGGCTAATGAAGACGGACAAACGCCATATAGTGCACTACGAGAGAAATATTGCTGCGTCATGGACTATTCTTGTATCAGTCAATGAATGTTTACGTGCACATCAATGTGTATGCGGGATCTCGGGTTTTCATCCCATCTGAACGCTGTATCCCCCCAGGCCCCGCACCACCGACAAGGGGAACCACGTCGTAATATCCCGATGAACTTTTTAAAAAGGGAAATAATTATATTATTATATCTCTCAGCATACGTAGTTTGCATCAAAGTTATGTTTTGTCACGACAAAACCCTAATATAACGGTCCATTCTTTTGTGCTGGTGGACAATCAACCAGGCCATTGACGGTATATTTATCATCTTGGTCATATTATGTTCTTACTTAGCTGATATATATAACCCCAAGCCTCGCGTGTCACAGACTAATATATTTTGGTTCTAGTTCTATAAATTGTAATACCTTCCGATTGATTTCATTTAATAATCTTACATAGAACGTACTGTAAACATGAACATGGCAATAGCTTTGCACTGTGCTATGAAAAAGAACATCAGAACTATTTTAAGTTTCCGAAACTGCTCTTGGCAACGTCGTTTAAGTAATATGACCCTTGCTACAGTCACGTTCTCACGTATACGTTTTTCTCTAGTAGAACTTAGTCAAGCAAAATGTAGTCCACAGAACAAACTCATTTGGATAGACCATATAATCTTTAAAATAAGTTTGTTGTAAAGTGGGTATTTTTTCTTGAGTAATGGGCGTTGAACTTCATGTCTACGAAGTGTGCTCGCTATTGGACGTAGACATTTTTTGGACAAATTCAAAGAAACGCATAATAGAAATGAAATGAAATGGGGTTTAACGTCCTACTGTTCTGCTCCTAAACTGGGCTAATGAAGACGGGCATACGCCATGCAGTGTGCTATGAGGGATATTTTGCCCGGGCAGCGGCGCTACGGCCTACTCTTATATCGACTTCCAACTGCCAGGTGAAATTTTTACGTACACTCTAATGTGTACACGGGATCTCGGTTTTTCGTCCCATCCGAACGACTAGGCAGCTGTTCTTGTCAGACCCTCCGTCCTGCATCACTGACAAGCGGAAACCACGCCGGAAAATCGGGATGAACTTTCTCGGCCATTGCAGGGATCGAACACCCGATCCCCAGGCTAGCGAGCCAGCGTCTTACCCACTCAGCCACGTGATCCCCACGCATAATAGACAACGCAGAAGAACCGTTTAACATATTAAGGACGGATCAAATAAGTACCTAGAAATATATCAAATTTTCCAAATGTCATCTGTAACTTAATTCTTTTAAATAGGTTTCTATTTTGAAAATAAATTATAAACAAATTAAATATGCATCATGGGAAGTATTTGTCCATGTTTTGTGAGAAATATTGTGTTAACCTAAGGGACACAGTCTGGCAAATTTAATGAGTATTTGATAAGAATTTTTAATTTTCGACGTCAGCTCACCAGTTATTTAAATTATTTTTATGAATCCTTGATCACCCACATATACCAAATGCGCTTTGGTTTCCAGAAAGAACTAAACACATATCAGTGCCGTCAGTACAAAAGTGGGAAGTCTTTGGTTTCCAAATACATAAGTCAGCAAGGTATCATAAGTGGTTTTATTGCATAGTGTGAAACTCATAAAAATAGTCAGTTTTTAATTAAAGGTGCAACTAAAGCTTTGACCTATCTCTGAGCGTCATTTGAGCGATCGATATTCCCCCACAAACTACATAAAGTGACAGTGTAGTCTCTAAAACGAATATCAGTCCAAAAATGGTTCAATTCTGCTCGGTATGTACACTGATATGATGAACTGAAAATTTGTCAACATTTGGTATTCACTGCAGATGATTGTAGACGATATATAAGATATAGTCAGCCAGCACCATTCCCCCTTAATCTTGTGACGGTCCTCTTTTCAAACTAATTAAATCCACACCTGGAGATTATCTATACCGTTAATATTTTTATTTTATTTTCTTAATTAATTGTTCCATAACACAATAAATCATATTTTAAAGTAGATTTAATGAAATGGAATGTACTGTCCTACTTTTCTGCACCAACCGGGATAATGAAGACGGACATATTATGCGCCAATCGGTGTACTTCGAGAAAAAATTGTACTCCTACAGTGCCGTTTCCGATTTCTCTTAATCGAATTCCAAGTGCGAAATACTGGAACTCGGTGTTCGTCACATCCGAATGACTAAACGCTTTTTCTTGACAGGTCTCCTGATAACGGGAATCCTGCTCCAAAATGCCGAGAAACATTTGGGATTGAACCGGTGATCCGCTAGCTAGTGATCGAGAGCCTTGCGCACTGAGCCACCGTGGACCCGTAAAGTGAAATAAGTTGTGGAAATTTTTTTATTTTCCGAAAAATGCAAACGATGCACAGATGCTTTTAAGTATATGAAGATAATAGCTACAGCCATCTTTTCCCCATGCAGATTAGAAATGTGAAAGGAGCTGTTCAGATTTGCAGAGGGGATAATATTTTGGAAATTTCAAGATCGATTCTCGCTGGTAAGATCATCGGATGAGACAATAGACCGTCACGTGTACAAATTTAAAGAACATTGTAATTATCTCGATATCTATGCAACAGGAGTTTAAAAATAGTTGGCGATTCACAGCTATAGCCATAAAGAATTAATAATAAACATTGACCTATTCGTTTCCGCAAAATGTATAACTTTACATTATTGTTCCATATTTTTATATGTGGTAACCATATATTTTTGATATGATTTGAGCTTATTTCTGGAATTACAAAGGAATGTAATTATCCGAGATTGTCGAAAGATTGAAAACGGAGGTATGTGTTCTGGGGACAGAAAGCATACGCCGTGTCGGAGGTTTGGATGGCCGAATGGTTAGCACGTGCGCGCTGTATCATAAGGTCTGTATCAGCTAGCCTGGTTTCGATTCCCCGGTTGTACGTAACAAGAAGTAGGGTCGCCTTTCCAACCTTGTGGGTTTTCTCCGGGTCCTCCGGTTGCCTCCCACTACTAATGACCCCTATGCGCAAGCGAAGTATTGAAATAAAATTGAACGGTGTGTTAGTCCTGAAATGACCTAGTTTGTGTCGAGTGGACGTTAAACCCCATCTCTCTCTCTCTCTCTCTCTCTCTCTCTCTCTCTCTCTCATACGTCGTCTCGTGTAAGCCAAAGATTAAATGCATCCAAACTTTGTAGACTATTTTGGACTTGCATTTCGTATACGTGCGTTTTTAATGTAACCGTGTGTTTTACGTAAAGGAATATACATGCTAATGATTTCAGATAAAAATAACTTTTGGCAGTTTACCAGCTAAGAATTAAGAGACCTTTAATTAACAGAATTAACTGATATCTTTAAACTTCTAAGATGAAGATTTAAAAAACAATTAGCATCATGTGCTTACATTGCTAAATCTTCCTTCTCAGATTATAGTTCCATTTTTGTTTTTGAGAGTAAAAGATGCTTATGTACCATATACACAAAAGATCCTATAATTATACTAATGGAGAAAGGAAAACATGACCTTAAATCAAATTATCGACAATCCCATTCATCAACTAATTACGGATAGTAATACAACCTAAAATTATTTTTTTCTGTATCCTAAGAAGTTTTAGATCAAAATGGATTTAATATCAGTATTAAAAACGCGTTGTTTATGAGATGACTGATAGTTCCAAGTGTATTACTTTTACGATGTGTGAATATCGACTTTATACAATATACTTACCTCTGACCAGCTTCTTAATTGCAGAGAAAATAAGTTGATAAAATGAAAACATGTTAATACACACCTGAGACCGTGGAAACAGTTAGAATTAGATACAAAATTGATGTGACAGCTATCAGCACTGAACACCGAACTTCCATAGCTTTAAAATAAATTTTGATTTCTGTCTTTCCTTTCAAGAAGAATACTGCACTTCAAAGTTTTCCTTTCCTTCGAATTCCAAGTCCAAGCAGAACAATCACAAGCCGAAATAAGAATTTGCAATCTCCTCTAGGTTGTTTCTTGAGTTTTTCTTTTCTTCAATCCCTACAAGTATGCTGTATGTAAGTGTAGAAGAATGTACGCCAACAACTAAGTTTTACTAACTTGACGCCCCCGTGCCTAGAATATGATCAGTCTTCAATATCGAGCGCCTGGTTATTCACGATAAACACAATCTAACGTAGCCCGATAACGTTCAATAGGTTTTTCTATACACAGGCCCACGTGTTTCTACCTTCGCGCCATTCCCACAATTATTGATTACGTCACGGAAGGGGGTGCTTGTTGCAGCAGTCCAATGAACACAGGTCGAGATGTGATTTGTTTAGGAAACGTCATAATATTCTAAAATTGGTACATACCCATTATTATTAGTTTAATAAATATTTGTAATGCAATTCAGTAACTTATATTATATAGTATCCACTTAAGTCATAAAATATTAATAACGTTAAGGCTATTTGTTCTCGGATTTAAATTACTACCGCTTCCAGGTTTTGTGTGTATTAGGTATCATGGCTATTTAATCTATTTATAATAATGGGGTGTGTATGAATGAATTGACTAATACAGGATTTTCCGAGGAAATTTCCGTGACAATATCTATTATCAGTCGTAGCAGAATTATATAATATGACGAATGGGATATGAATTCATTTCAATTATTTGTAGAATATAAAACCCCAAAGGGAATGGGCTAATTGCTCATACTTCTCCAAAACAAAAATGACTTTCAAACTAAACGTCTTAATTAAACTATTGTTGAATTCCATATGATAATCTTTCAAGAGTAATAATATTGAAACAGAATTGACATCCAGAATTTGCCGGGTCGATTGTATGCGCTTTTAAACCAGTTTAATATAAAGTAAATGAGACAACCATGGGTTTCTTTATAAAAAGGTTAGGAATGAAATTCAAATGCCATTTATTTAGAATATTAGTATAATAAAAAAAAAAAAAAAAAATTGGCATTAACGACGAAGAGGGCATTTATTAAATTGATTGTGGCAGATACACTTTTTACGAAAAGGTTTTGGTACGTATACGTGTGTTTCCGAAACACTTCTAGGATTATTCTTTGATAACTTAGAAAAACAGTTACTATAATAGCCTCCTTATTTTTTAAAACAGTTTTTATTTTGGTGATTTCCTTCTATGTTTTGGTATTGCTATGAACAGTTCTAATATGACCTTAACTGTCAGCGGAATATTGCTTTTTTTTCTAAAAGATGTTTGATAAGTTGCTTTTTGTGCCTTTCCTTCAAGGTAAACAGTGGGATATCTCTGATTGGTCACCAAGTATTGTTTTTTTATGTATATATTTCCCAATTGCATTTTCTATTTTATCATTGTTTGATAAATACTAGAGAAAAACTAGTCGAAGCGTCGCCTGTATATAATACACTGTATCTTTTATCGCTTTGGAACATACAACAATAAAACAATAAAATTCACAACATAAGAGTAGCCCCTTTCTGGCAGAAAAAGGATGTGCACACCTTGGGTGTTTACTCATGCTCACCATTTTCTCATTTTACCAGATTTGAAACAATACAAAAAATTATATTGAATTATACGTTATAAGGACTAATAACCAGTTGTTCTGTTCCAATCTTTTAGGGGCCGCAGTGAGTAATAGGTTGGCTCGCTAACCTATAGAGGTCCCGTGTTCGATCGCTACGTTGGCCGAGAAAGTTTATTTGGTTATTCATTCGAGGTCCCCCCCTTGTCAGTGGAGCAGGACCAAATCCTGACACGGAACAACGTATAGTCGTTCGGATGGGATGAAAAACCGATGTCCTGTGTACACATTGGCGTACAAGTAAGAGATCCCTTTGCAGTTGGAATTCGATATAAGAGTGGTCCGTAGCGCCGCTGTCCGGGGAAAAATTCCCCTCGTGCCATACGATATGGCGTATACCCGTCTTCATTAGCCATGTCGGACCAGAAGAGTAGGACATTAAATTTCATTTCATTTCATTTCATTTCTGTTCAAAACTTCAAATATATATATATATGAATTTAAGCGTAAGTTTTGACTTTTGAACTACAATAAATATTTCTTTACGATATCGCCTACTTCCGTGAATGGCGTATAATTTGTTTGAAAGCAGTTTAAAACATCTGACAAAACTATTATGACGACCCACATAATCTCAACAATGTTCTAACATTCGTGGGTGTAACAGTATAGTTTATGTCAGATACAATAACCGAAATTAAAGAACAAACAAGATAATTATACAGAAAATGATGAAATGATTAATAAAAATACATGTGGTGGGGTAAGAAGTGTGAGCACCACATGTGCCAATGAATACAGTGTAATCTCTGTTGGAGAACGGGTATTTACATTGAACATTGGGAAATGTCTTTGTTAAAGTTATAAGATGAAAGTATGAGGAAAGACACGGATTCGTCAATGTATATTGACTCACTTTACCCTGAACTTTATCCATATAAATAATTAATAAAATGCTAACAAGATTCTTTAGTTAAGTTGATTGATACTTGATCAACTCACCTACTGTCCCAGATATTTATGTCTGTCGGAAAAAATCTCTTTCCATATACCATGAACGATATTTTAGTTCAGGAAATCCGGCAAAAATTGTTTCAAGTAATGATCTAGTCTAAATTTTACAGATTACGATAAAAGAATAAATAATTGTAACTAAAATTGATTTTGGTAATTCAACACTATTAAAATAAGTATGTATACTGATGTCTCTTTTGATTTTATGTAAGTTAAAATTTGTATTCCAAAATGTAGTTGCAATGCTAGCTAATACAAAATTGGTTATCATAGTGTTAGTTCAACATAAATGTCTTCATATATTCTTCTTTAAAGATAAATACAAGATTTACTGGATTTAAAAAGGGAAAATATTTATATTAGTCACTCCAACAAACGCACAAGGGCAAGATCCGTTGGTAAATATATTTTTCTAACTTCGGTCAGATATGTGAAGATCATCCTCGGTATCCCCAGTGGCCTCATTCCGTTCTACTCCACTAACTCCTGGGTTAATAATCTAGGGGGGGGGGGGGGGAGGGCACGTTTCCACGTTATCCGCCCTTGATGATTGTGCTATTTTTATCGACCAATCCCATAAATCGTAAATTGCAATGGAAGTGACTCTCATCGGGTAAAGTTAGCAAAACGCAAAGGCTCCCCTTCAAGAGACAAGGTTAGGAACTAGCTAGAACGTAGCCTAAATGAGAGAAGTCAAAATTATACTATATGCATATTTATATATATATATATGTAGGTTCAGGGGTTTTATTGAGAATCAAATTACCAAGTATAAATTCAAAAATAATAAACATAACAGAATAAAATATTTCAAAGACCGAATAGTAATAATAATAACAAAAGTCAAACATATAGATGCTATATATTTGAAATCAGAGAAACATGCTACAGATTTTGATTATACAATAAAATATGAATGTATCAGAAATATATACATTATTTACATAAATCATTCAGTAAATGGACATGAATATGGTTATCTAAAAACGAACGCGAAACGACTGGTTTGTAAACTGTTTTTTGATTGGTTCGTATATTTTAACTACAATCAAGGCCAGGACAGATAATTTGAAATCGTGGAAACCCTATGGATTAACCCAGGGTGTAGTGGAGTAAAACGGAATGAGTACACTGGGGATACCGAGGATGTATGAAGATGGGATTCGTGGCTTAATACTGAATTTTAGATTTTTCTTCTTTTCATGAATGAATTTGGGAAAGATTGGATGTTTGTTTGCATTGCTATAACATTGAGCGTGTAGGATGAAGGCACATAGTTGTCATAAATAATTTCTTAAATAAACTGTCCAGAGCGTTCACATTGTCAGTCTTTCTAATCGCCTGACTTTTTAAGTCCGGTTGGTATAGAAAGGTAGGACGTTCAACCCCAGGGAGGGCATTACAACCAATTGCACAATCAAATCATTCTTTTTACTCCCACCTTGTATGTGTGTCTATATTGTTTTCTCTTCGGTGATCTACCAATTTATGATAACGCGCCACAGGACAAACCTCGCCACGAATGGTTTCTTAATTAGTTTGTTTACTGTGACAAAGGACCAAGTCGAAGTTCATAATTTTTCAATGTATATTAGAAGTTTACAAATGCTAGTGGGTGTAGTTGCAAAGCTTTATTTGATTGTTTTTTATACGATCACATTTCTCCTAAAAAAAAGTATATTAAAAGAACCACATAGAAATTAAAAATATATTCGCCGGTCACTTTTTACAGCGTGATAGGAAGTGGAGTGACACAGAGCAATGTTTACAGAAAACAAAAATGGGGTTAAGCGTCCTACTTTTCTGCACCATCTGTGCTAATGAAAACGGGCATAATGTGCTATGAGGGGAATTTTGCCCGGACAGCGGCGTGTCTGCCTACTCCCGATGAACTTTCTCGGCCAATACCGGGATCATACCCAGGACTTTATGTGAGCCAGCACCACACCCACAGGCCTACCTTGGCTCCCATCCGTATTGAGTTATAACCTATTATTTTGTGGACACAATTTTAAAATAAATTAGTAAAGAGTCTGATTTTGCCTTAACTTTACAGGGCGTTCCTCATCACTCATCGAACAGGTCAACTCAATTCAAAACTATATATGATGCGAACTCGTTAGCTGATCTATTTGTTCCTGTCTTAAGCAACACGATCAGTCATTGAAATAAAGGGAGATAATATGCTTACGAGACAATAGAACCGAATCAATATCAATATAATAGTTTTTCATGGTTTAATAGCATAGCAATCGAAAAATCCGTATCGGCGACCCAGAAACAAGAGAACGATCTGATGTCAGATTCAACACAGCGCATTTCCAGTTTGTAAGTTTAATACCTGCAGACTTCAAATGTTTCCATTCATTAGGGATGGTTGCATATCTTATTATTTATGTCTATCTTTATTTTGTCTGGCTGATAATCAAATATATCGGACAGCCAACACAACCATCATCCGTATCAACAGCAAACCAGTCTAGACTAATGCAATTTAAGCTCCAAAAATGGACAGAATACCAACGGGGTCAGTATTCATTTCCAAATTATCTGAGCATCTTTACGAGAAGAATATATCGGACAGCCAACACAACCATCATCCGTATCAACAGCAAACCAGTCTAGACTAATGCAATTTAAGCTCCAAAAATGGACAGAATACCAACGGGGTCAG